ACCACGGAGTGGGTAATCTCTTCAGGAATACCAGAGGCAACAGCTAGCTAATCATTAGGAAATACGACACTGGTTTAGGCAAATGAAAAAGTTTCTACTGCATAGGTGAAAAACCATACTATTAACGAGAGGTAATCCCAAATACAAGCAACCAGTACTGCCTTTCTCAGGGACGATGCTTCGTAGCCGTACATAACTGTTATGGCACGGGACAAGGGGAAGGAAAAAAACGACAATCTTAGACAAAAAATAAGAGCAAAAAAAAAATCTTGAAAGTAACACAATGTTAACTGGTCTACCTCGCCAATGACCGCCATTAGCCATCCTTTGATTGAGGAAATAATCGAAAACAGAATTGCGTTGGATTCTAAACCACATCGAGCATGTTCTCGAGGCCATTTGGTGATGAGCAAGAGAGCAATCAGCTCAACGATCCCTTCCTCTGCTTTCCTTTCCGAGAGCACATAATTCGACATCATCTCTTTGATCCTTTCCGCGAACGTTGATTGAAAGCTTTCGTGACCTAAAAATCAGAGATTTAAAAACAGTCGCAGAAAATGATTCCAAATATCCCTTACAAACCTCTTTTTTTTATTCAATTTAAAATCACTATTTTAGCGATAAGAGTAACATTTAAATGCTAAAAAACTCATGTTCTCTGTTTGAGCTGCACATTCCCAGGTATAAGAATATGTAAACATACATGTACAAACATAAACACGCACATCTTACCTACAGGATCTATTTAATCCTCAATCCCTTTCGCATTTATCATGAGGATAAACTGAAGGAAAATTTACCAACAGCGATGACCGCAATATCGACAGCTAACTCTCTGTTCCCTTTCATTGCAGCATCGACGACATGGCAAGCAAACTGGCTCCAGTCCTCGTCACTGAGCGTCACATTATCACTGCTCAATATGTGCTCTGAAAAACCATGCCCGAATTTCTCCGCCAACAAAAACACTGTGAAATTGCGCACCTCCACCACCACAATCAGCGACGATAAATACACCACCTCTAGGGGCCGAATACACAGCTCTATGGTACTCGGATGGTATGCCTTAAGTAATGAGAATGCTAGTAAGATCACTGGTACGTCCAGAGAGGAATTACATGATCACGACAAGTGCAGAACATAGTATATGGGAAACTGCCCGATGGCACGAACACGTTTCCTAGCTTTTGTGGTTCTCGAGTTGAAAGTTGCGGACAAGTTGCTGCGGACACACACACACATACACACAAACACACACACAGACAACCCCGTAACAATATGCGTTTTGTACTGCTGTTACACAGCACAAAACGCATAAAAAATACACTTGCTCGGTCATTTACAATAACCGAAAATTACTAACTTAGCACATGTGTAGTCATCGGCGGACTCTGATCAATGCCTTTCATGAAGAGCAATTCAACGAGTTCGTCCACGCTGGTGACCACGTAAGAAGCTGGTTTTGGCACGGAATCGGAACGTAGCCGGTCCGCTGGTGCTACTCGTGGCGTCCTCACTCTTCGCTCCGAGACGGAGTTCCGTTCAACCTGGGCACATTCACTGAGCGCCAGCTGCATGTTTTTGAAAATGCGGTGCCCTCGGGCAATCCTCTCGCGCACTTTCCTCGTGCTGGCGCTGCTTGTGTTTGGTGGGCTGCAGGCGCATGTGGTATTTGCTTGTTGCTTTTCCGTGACATCGACACTATGGACGCCTTGGCCGCTAGCAGATGACGCTACAGCACCGTTAGGCTTTGCTTCATCGTTCAGCGATAGCCTGGCGAATTTGTCATCGCACATACCACGCAATCTGTAAATTTGGAACACTAAATTATGTGGAATTATCAATCAAGAAATGAGAACACAACAACGCGTATCAAGTTAGAAATAAGCTGAAAACCACTAATTGCTAAGGAACGTAACTGCATTCTGTGCCAATGTAGTGCGGATTAAGAAAGCAGTCAAAACTTCAACCAAATTTCCTTCAAATGCACCTCTTCGCCTACCAAAGTCAATGCCTCGCGCTTGCAAGTGGCACCTGCATTTCCGCAAAGCAAATTCCTGAAATCGAGAAAGATTTAAAAAAAAAGCATAAAATTTAAGAACTATCCGCCAACCGGTTATCCCCTACTAAATGTCAGATATCTCTGCTCTT